AAACTCAAAGAACTCAGTGCCTTGGAGTTGATACTGACTCACAGCAACCCTGCATCAGGTTTCTGAGGCTGTTAATCTCTAAGGGAAGAGATTGCCCATCTTTTTCCAATGGAGTACCTGGAAACTGCCATGTTCATGCTTGACAAACTGACACATTACACATAATGCCACCACTGCTTCTTAAATGTATTATGGTTACCAATTATCAAGTTTTGCATTGATAAAAAGAATGGAAGCATGCAAACCAAGAAATAACATGTTATTAATCTGTGCTACTCTTCGGTGTCACCTAGCAGACTACAACTCATAGTGACCCTGTGAGCAATAAATGAGAACCTTGCCTTTTCCTTCACCACAATCATATCCTCCACCACGTTCAAGTCCACTGCTGCAGTCACTGTGTTAATCCATCTCCTTGAGGGTCTCCCTCTCTTCTTTTGACCTTCTACTTTTCTAAGCATGACGTCTTTTCCCAAAACTTGGTGTCTCCTAACAACACGCCCAAAGTATATGAGATGAACTTTCAACCAGTCTCTAAAGAGTGTACTCTGGTTGCACCTTCTCCAAGGCAGATTTGCTTGTTCTTTTAGTAGTCTAGGATATGTTCAATACTCTTCAACAGCACAATTCATTGGCATCCATTTTTTTCAGTCTTCCTTATTCATTGTCAAACTTCCTCATGAACACGAATCAGTTGAAAATAGTAGCTAAACACAAAATTGTAAATTTAACATCACTATTAATTCATGTATACCTACTTTGTCTCCCTCAATACTATTGATGTATTAAAGAACATGAAAATAAAAGAGGATGTAATTATGCTGGGAAAGCAAACAAAAAGTAACATCAAAAGGCTAAAAAATAAAACAAATAGTCTTAAATTTTAGTACATAAATCATATATGCTTTGCATAGGTGGTAACCATTAAATATTTGCCACATGAGAAAATTAATGAATGGTACAAAATAATATGGATGGTAAATTTAGTAGTGCTCAGTGAATGAGTGCTGTGAATCAGTACAGACAAGCAGACCAACCTGAAAAGAATTTAAAACAGTGTTAGAAAACCCCAAGCATGAAACAGCAAGGCTGGGGAAAAGGAGCACATGGTGAGATGAAATCAAAGGACTTTGGAAGTGCCACCAGTAATGATAGGCAGTCCTAGTCATCCCCTAACTTGAACAGCTTTTAAGTCATAAAATAAGGTAAAAAAAGACTTCTAATAATAGCAAAATCTTATGTGTTCGGCTCTTTTCTATTTCTCATAGACATCTATAAGTCTAACCTGATACTGACATTCTTAAGAGACCCCTTGCAAGAGGTGAAAATCATGTTGAGCACAATTCTCACAAAACTGTAGTCAGGAAATCAAAAGATAAATTGCATTGGGGAAGTCTGCTGCCAGGGACATCTCCAGAGAGCTGAGGAGCAATGATGTCAGTCTGGAAACTAAGGTGAACCTGATCCAGGCCATGGTCTTCATAATTACATGCTATACATCAGAGAGCTGGACAATGAGTAAGGATGACAGAAGAAGTCTTTGAATTATGGTGCTGGAAAAGAGTTTGAGCATACCCTGTGTTTTGTTTGTTTGTTTTTTTATTTAATGTGTGTGTGTGTGTGTGTGTGTGTGTGTGAGTGTGTGTACCATCAAATTAGATCTGACTGGTACAGGAGGAGATTGTCCCTCCTTTCCCGGCAGAGCACCTGGTGGATTCGAACCGTGAGCCTCTGGGATTGTAGGTGCAGCTCCTTGCCACTAGGCCACCAGAGCTCCCCATGCATACCATGTTTTGAAGAGGGTGAAACCAGGTTTTTCCTTGGAGGCTAGAAAGACCCCAGATGAGACGGACTGTCACAATAACTGGGGCAATGTGATTAGGCAAATCGGACTCAACGAGACTGGCTCAGGATAGGACTGTAATCTTCAATATGGATTGAAGCTCAATATCAAGAAGACAGTTTCTCACCAACTGGCAGCACCATGATAGATGGAGAAGAGATTGAGGTTATTAACAATTTCAGCTTGCTCGGCTCCACAATCAACACTCGTGGGATCAGTAGTCAGGAAATCAAAAGAAAAAATGCTTTAGGGAAGTATACCAGCAGGGACTTCTCCAAAGTACTAAAGAGCAATGATGTCAGTCTAGGGCCTCAAGTGTGCCTGATCCAGACCATGGTCTTCACAATTACATGCTACGCATCAGAGAGCCGGACAAGATTATATAAAAAGATTATTGAATCATGACCAACTACAGTTTAGCTCACAAATGCAAGGCTGATTCAATATTCAATAGTTCTTTAGTACAATTAATAAAAATGAAGATTTTAAATATCTGCACACATTTAACACCCTTCATAACAAAAACTCTTGAAAAAGTAGGAATAGAAGGAAACTTCATTACCTGGGAGCTCTTACAGTACTACCCATGCGGATCCATGTGGCTAACGCAATAGCCGTACCTCTAGGTGATTCAAATCCACCCGCTGCTCTGAGGGGAACAGAGAGGCAATTTCCTCCCCTGTGATTTACAAGCTTAGAAAACCAATGGGAGGGTCAGCTATGAGTCAGATAAACGAATCATTACCTTCTAAACGGCAGCCATAAACAAACATATAGCTAATAATCTTAATGATGAGCAGGTATGTCACAAAAGATCTCTGGATAAAAAATAGGTAAAGTGAGGATAGTATTTGGATACATTGCTTATTGTTGTTGACAGGTGCTTTTAACATAATTCATGGCAACCTTGTGAGTCACCAATCTCAACCCTGCACTGTGTCATGACAACTTCATCATCTCTGCCACACTTGAGTCCATTTTTACCATCATTATATCATGCCACCTCATTGAAAGTCTTTCCCTCTTTTACTGACTCTCCACTTTTCTGAGCATGATGTCATTTTCCAGAACTAGTCCCTCCAAACAAAATGCCCACTTAAAAGTCTACACGCTATACATTTCCATTTATAAGATATTCTGCCGGTGCTGGCTGAAAATCACCTGTGACTTCATCCATAGCCACTGGTGAGAGTAAGTGCCCAGAGCCATCAGGGGCTTTAAGCTCGTTGCCCACTGCTGTGGTGTGGACAGCTGAAACCCAGGCCCCGACAGGCATCTGGGGGGAGAAAAAAAAAACCCAGACTCTACTTCATGCTCTGCTGGAGAAGGAGGGGCAGTCTCCTGTACCAGTCAGATCCAATTTGACGGTACACACACACACACACACACACACACACTTTTTCTTCTTCTTTCTTAAGAAAAGACTACTTCGGCCGTCGAGGCCCTCTGCCCCCTGCCCGGGGCGAACCGTCGCGGCACTCAGGAGCAAGAAGGCAAGCAGCTGTAACCCAAGACCACCAGTAAGGTGATAAAGCCTCCTCCCTTCCCTCCTTTATATCTACGCCCCTGTTCAGCATGAAGAAGCCAGAGAGAAGGCATCCAATTCCCAAATCAATAAGACAGTTGGCTTAATTACCATTGGAAAATGCTTGTCATTCCTCTGTAGCATCTGGTCCCCACTGGACCCTCATCATTTCCTTCACCTGCTCCCCCCACCGACCAAACTGTGCAGCTCTGCAACTGCATCCTGGCCCATCCTCACCCTTCTGCCCCCAACCCTCACCTCCTTGTACCCCCAATATGTTTTTCCCAATTAAAAAAAAAAAGATCTTCTGAAAAACACAAAACTGTAGGAATTGAAGAAAAAAAAAAGACCCCCACTACTCAGGATTGGGACTATGTTAAAGGAATCATTACTAAAAGGCATAAGGGCATTTTTAGTGTGATGGAATAGTTCTGTATCTTGACTACAGTGATAATTGTAAAAAAAAAAAATCATAAAAATGTACACCAAAAAGGGGTTATACCGTGATAAAAAAATATGATAGTTTTCATATTTTTTAGTTACTGATAGTCTATTGGGTAGGGATTTTAACCCAAGTTCAAATCTCCAAGCTGTTCCTCTGGAGAAAGATGGACAATCTCTTCCCGTGAGGTTTACAGCCTCTGAAAACTTGCTGAGGATTAAGCTATGAGTGTGTTCCGACTGAACAGCAACAAGTTGTTAAAGTTGTTATGTAAAAGAAGTTTGCAGTCTACTACGAAATGCTTAACCACCTTGCTAGTCCTTTGTACTTGTTTGCAATTTAAGTGTTATTCCCTGCCCAGCCAGCCAACCGAAGAAATTCGCTGAGAAAACAAGTGTATCGCGTTAAAATAAACTACAGAAACATCCTAGTCAAAATACTTGAAGTGCTCAATCATGAATGAACTCAGCTTGCTGTCCCTGAGTCAGAAGCGAGTCCCAGCCCAACCACCGGTGGGTTTTCAGAGACTGTAATTCGCATGGGAGGAGACTGCCCATCTTTGTGCCCTGGAGCTGCAGATGTACTGGATCAGCCAGAGGCGTGGCCTTTGGATTTAGCAGAGCCACCAAAACGCCGATACTCAAGGGCAGAGACCAAACTGGATGAGAAAAGGCGCAGAGAAGTCCAGACAGTGGAAAGAGGCCGCGCCACAGAGCCAGGCTGCGGACTGATCCACTTATAGAAATGAGTTATTGCCGGGCTGGCGGACAGCAGGGGAAGGAACTCGATCTTTCTCCAGGTAACACGTGGGCTGAGTCTAAGAGTCGCATCCACTTTCCCCTCATTACAGACCACACTCCACCGCTGCTCCCTTCTAGCCTCACCTCTCCAGTTCTTGTACTCCGGGATACAGTAGTATTTGTTCCCAAACTGGTCCGTGCCCACGCACTGCTTCACTTCCTTTGACAGCAGACTGTACAGGGAGCGAAACATACGGAGAGACCAAGCCATGCTACTGCCTAAATCCCTGCGTCGTGAACTGCAAGTTTAAAGGTTCCAGATTGAGAAGTCCCACAAGCGCCGACCCCGCCTCCCGGGAGTCCGGCCCGCCTCCATGCCCACCCCCTCCTGAGTAACGGCGCAGACTATTGGTCAGACTGATTCATGGTTTGACCAATAGAGGCCTCCGTTGTTGCAGACCCCCGTTTCCGAGCTCTGTCATGGCGGCGCCCATTGCTTAAGCCGGTGTAAAGGAAAGGGATGCTTGGTTTTTTATCTGCGCGACAAATAGGTTTGGAGGACCCTCTTCACCTCCGGCGAGCGGAGTCCACACGGAGGTAAACGTAACTTGCGTTTTTCTCCTTTAGGCCACTTGAGTTTTAGCTTTCTTCTGTTTTCATGTCCTGTTACTCTTTTCCAACTAAAAACCTGTAGTTTGTACCCCTGCTCTGTGAAGGGGCTGTGAGCATTGGACTACTAACCAGAAGGTTCGCGGTTGAAACCCACTAGCAACTCCCTGGTAGAAAGATGGAGCAATCAGTATCCTTAAAGATTTGTAATCTCGGAAACCGTGTGTGGGTTGGTTTTGTTATTTAAAATGAGGCCCTGTTCAGATACAGTATCTTGTAGACTTAGGAAAATGCACATGGATGGCGCAAACCCTTAAGAGCTCTACTGGTGATTTGAATCCTCCTGCTATTGAATTTTTTTTTTTTTAATTAGCACTCATAGAAGCAGGAGTCTAGAAATCAAACAACGTGTTGCATTGAGCAGATCATTTAATTTAAAAAAGAACTCTTTAAGGGGCTGCAGAGAAAGTATATCACTTTGAATAAGATGCGTCCCACCCAAGCCAAAATTTAAACTCTTTGGCGTCAAGTCGGAATCCCTGCATAGCTGAGCCTCCAGAAGCTCTACCAATGGTGTAAATCACTCTGGAGGAGATTGCTTCATTTCCCAGGAAGCAGCCAGTAGATTCAAGCCTCATGCTTTTGGATTGGCAGCGCAGCTCCTTGCCCTTTAGGTGAGAATTCCATCACTTACAGCAGAACACAGGAGTTTTCAGTCCTCTCATACACGTGAAAATGTAGGCAGTAAATAAAGAAAACCAACCTAGAATTGGCACCTTTCAGTTGTGGTGTTGACGAATATTGAATGCACCAGTAGGATTATCAAAAGAACCAGTAAATCTATCTTGGAAGAAGTACAGCCAGAATGCTCCTTGGAGGTGACAACGGTGAGATCTTACTACATACTTTGGTCTTATTATCAAGATAGGCACTCCCTGGAGAATGAAATTATGTTTGGTAAAGTAGAGCTTCAGGGGAGCTCTGGTGGCCTAGTGGCAAGAAGCTGCACTGCAATCCCAGAGATATGTGGTTCTAATCCACCAGATGCTCTGCCGGAAAAGGAGGGGCAATCTCCTCCTGTACCTGTCGGATCTGATTTGACGTTACACACACACAAAAAATAAAAAAATAAAAAAAAAAAAAGGAGAGCTTCAGTGAAAGAAAGAGGAGGAACTTCAACCAGATGATTTGACACGGTAGCCACAACAGTGGGCTCAATGTACAGCAGCAATTGTGAAGATGTTAAGAGATCAAGCAGTGTTTAGCTCTGCTGTACACAGGATTACTATAAGCCAAAATTGACGTTGTGACATCCAACAACAACACATCTAAATTGAGAGGCCTGATTATCTGCTTTCAAAAAAGATCACAAGGCCTCAGAAACCCTGTGGAGTAGTCATGGTGTTTCCTTTTGCAAAATGTGCATACATGGATTTTGTGTGTGTGGAAATGTACCAAGGACAGCCAGCAGCAATGGGTGAGTGGGTGTGCCCAATGAGCTCAAATGAAAACATTATTCATTTAAGTGAGAAAACTTTTTCATTTTATTTCATTCCTTCTCGTTCATGTTACAGCCCTCAAAATTAACTGCCTTAACAAAATTAAGTAATTGACTTATTTAGGTGACATATTTAGTGAGTTCTTTATGTTGGTAGTGATTAGAGCATATGCCAGAAATTGGACAAAAGTCAACATAATACACAGAAAATTGACAGGAAAAGGGGGGGGGGACAGGCTAAATGAGAAAGAGCCTTCTGAGTTTGGTTAAGAGGTTGGCAGAGTAAAGTAAGATGTTTTGCTGTATGCTTGAAAACTAGAATGACACTAAGAGCCAAACTGGGAGCCAGGTGAGGTAACTACTACAGTTGCAACAGTCTGGGAATTGGGTAAAAGAGAGTGGAGAGGTGTGAAAAATATTTAAGTAACAGATAAATCACTTCTGGAAATTGATTCGATATAGTGACAAAACAGTGATTCTGAGATATAATTGAATGATGGTGACGTGACATTCTCTAAGATAGGATTTTCCACAAACAGTGCACATTTTTGCCTGAGCAAGAATAATAAGGTATATTTTGTGCACACTGATTTTGAGGAACCTACCAGCTTAAGTGGCAAAAGAGCTCTGATGGCTTAAGGACTTGGGCTACCACCACAGAAGCATGCACTATGACTCCGCCAGCTCCTCCAAAGGAGAACAATGACCATCGTCTCCTGTGCAGTTTACTGCCTCTGAAAACCCACTGGAAGTTCAGCTGAGTCAATTCCAAGTCAACAGTACATGATAACAGTAATCAAGATATTCAGGGATCTCTGCTGGCCAAGTGGGTCTAGAGTTGCGCTCCTTAGGAAAAAGATGGGCAATCTCCTCCCAAGCATTAGAAAGTCAGCTCTTATCTCTGACTTAACAACCGTGAGTGATTGATTGATCAAGATATTTAGTTGAAGAGTAGAGTGCACAGGTATATGTATGAGTTTGGTTCTTAGGAGAAATTAAAACATCTTTAATGTAATGCAATACCTGAAGTCATAGGAGGAGATGAGATAACCCAGGCATCTTTTGTATTATAGCTTTTGTTCTTAAATAACAAATAATAAAAATTAGCAAATGAACTGAAAGGAGTAGCCATGGACATAGAAATGTGCGGGGACTGGATGCCAGTGGAGATATTAATAGCATATACAGGAATAAATAAGTAAATATATTTAAGATAATGGACAGTATGTTTCTAAGTGTTAGAGAAGGGAATTCTCAGGAGAGATTTTGCCTGTGTTACACAATTATATGATAGACCATCATATAGACAATTAGTTTTTAAGAATAAAGGGAAATCTCAGTGGAAAACTTATAGAACAGTTATTTCCTGATGAAAATATTGATGCTTAGAAATATAAAACTAAGGAGTTAGGGTAGGGTAATCTATAGCATGCCAACAAAGAATGCAGAACAGCATAGTGATCTAGAATACAGAATAGCCACGATCAGTGGTAGCTTAGCTGAGTGACTTTAGACAAATGCAGCAAATAACATTTCATAATATAATCTACCAGTTGGATTACCACTTATTATTACTAATAATTAGCTGTAATATCCGTAATACCATGACCTCTTCTAAATCCAGCCTGCACATCTGGCAGTTCTCTGTTGACATATTGTTCCAGTCATCTTTGGATAATTTTCAGCAGAATCTTGCTTGCCTGTCATATTAATGATATTGTTCAATAATTTCTGCACTCTGTTGTGGGAACAAATAGAGATCTTTTTCAGTCAGTTGGCCAGCTGGCTGTCATCCAGATTTCTTGGCACAACGAGGCACATCCAGGTCAGCGTCTGTTGAAATATGTCAATTGGTATGCCGTCAACTCGGAACCTTGTTTTTTGCCAGTTCCTTCAGAGCAACTTGAACTTCCTCCTTCATCACCATAGGCTCTTGCTCATATGTTATTTCATGAAATTCTATGTCAGCCAGTTCCTTCTGATACTGTGACTCTGTGTACTCCTTCCATCTTCTTTTAATGCTTCCTGGATCACTTAACATTCTACCCAAAGTATCCCTAAGTATTGCCACCCCTGGCTTGAATTTGTTTTTCAACTCCTTCAGCTTAAGAAACACTGAGTGAGTTCGGCCCTTTTGATTTTCTGACTCCAGCTCTCCTCACGTTTCATTATAGTATCTTGCTTTGTGGTCCCGAGCTGCCTTTTGAAAGTTTCTGTTCAGCTCTTTTGTTTTTTGGTTTCTTCCTTTAGCTTTGGCTTCTCGGCACTCTAATGCAATACTCAGAGTCTCATCTGACATCCGTCTTGGTCTTTTCTTCTTCTTCAGCCTTTGTAATGATCACTTGCATTCTTCATGGACAATTTTCTTGATATCCTCCCAAGCTCATTTGGTCTACACTCATTGGTGCCCAAGGCCTCAAACCTGTTACTAAGATGATTTTGAAATTTGAGTGGGACAGACTTAAGGTCAAATTTTGGTTCCTGTGGATTTGATTTACTTTTCTTCAACTTCAGCTTGAACATGCATATGAGTAGTTGGTGGTCTGTTCCACAATCAGCACCTGGCCTGGTTTTCACAGCTGATAGTGAACTTCTCCAGCGAGTCTTTCCACAAATATTATAGCTAATGTTAGATGAGTCTTGGCAGAAAGAGAAAAGCAGAAGAATGTCTATCTGTGCTTCATTGATTATGCAAAGGCTTTTGACTGTGTGGATCATAACAAGCTATGGCTGACTCTGAGAAGAATGGGAATGCCAAAACATTTGATCATGCTTATGTGAAACCTGTACTTGCACCAAGAGGCAGTTGTCAGAACAGAGCAAGGAGACACTACATGGTTCAAAATCAAGAAGGATGTCCATCAGTGTTGTATTTTGTCTCCATACCTTTTCAATTTGTATGCAGAACAAATCATCTGAAACTCTGGGCTGTACAAGGAGGAATGTGGCATCAAGATTGGTGGAAGAGTCATCAACAACCTGTTATGCAGATGACACAACCCTGCTTGCTGAAACTGAGGAGGACCTGAAGCACTTGCTACAGAAAGTCAGGGACTGCAGCCTTCAATATGGATTGAAGCTCAACATCAAGAAAACAAAGATTCTCGCCACTGGGCCAATTGGAAGCATCAGTATGGATGGTGAAGCGATTGAGATAGTTAACAGTTTTTGTTTACTTGGCTCCACAGACTACACTTTTGGTAACAGCAGCCAGAAAATCAAGAGACAAATTGCATTGGGAAAATCAGCTGTGAGGGACCTCTCAAGAGTACTGAAGAGCAACGACGTCAGTCTGGAGACTAAGATGAGCCTGATCCAGGCTATAGTCTTTGCAGTTACGTGCTATATATCGGAGAGTTGGACAGTGACTAGGGATGACAGAAAAAGAATTGATGCCTTTGAGCTGTGGTGCTGGAGAAGAGTGTTGAATATACCATGGACTGCTAGGAGAACAAACAGATGTGACCTGGAGAAGGTGAAGCCAGAATGC